GCCCAGGGGTGGGAAAGGTCAGAGAGCGGTTGATCGGCAGGGATGACTATGAGAGAAAGAATCTGCTGGGGAACGGAGACCGACTGGTCTCTTTCAGGTCCAGTTGACCTAAAACAGAATTTGGAATTTTTACGTGTGTATTCATCTATGAAATATTTCAATTCAAAGTATTTTTTTTATTGAGTAGCTTTTCCCAGCTCTTACCTGACAGTGAAGACCAATGGGTACTTCTCAAAAGCCATGGAGCCGTCAGTGGGGGGCGGCGCTTTGGACACAATCAGACCAACCAGCAGCTCCAGAACCAGCTGCCGGTTTACATAGTCCTCCATGCAGAAGAGCTGCTCCAGATACTGCAGTAAACTGGGCAAGAACAACTGGAGAAACACACAGGAGCATTAAAACAGTTGGAAGTTGCTCTTGAAGACTGCAAGTCCTGCTTATACTGACCTGCTCAAACTGTTTCATGTCAAACATCTCTTTGGTAAATGTCAATATGAGGTCTCGGTCCATGCCGCTATTAAAGACCTGCATATAGGGACCAAAGAGGAAATGAGGTCAACAGGAAATCAGATTGGAAAAACATTTGTGTTGGTGCACATTAAACAAACCTTTTTCACCAGTTCATGGATGCTGCTGGCAGGCAACGACAGATTCTCTCCCATTAACACAGCCGAGACCACCTGTAAAAGCAGCCCGTGGCAGGAGTAGGACAGTCCTGGTGCCTGAACTAACTGAAGAAGTGTCTAAATATAACAAAAAAAGGGGGGGGGGGGGGATATCAGAGGTGCAACAGCACTCAAGAACACCACAATCTTTGCGTGCTACAGACACACACACATACGCACCTCACAAACAGACTGTGGTTTTGTGATTTTTGCTCCTTTGTGATGCTCCACAAGCGTATGGTAGATGTACAGAATCCTCTCCAGGTGCTCATTAGCCTGAGTGGCATTGCTCGTCTCTAACTTTCCAAGAACTTCTTTCAGAGAGCCCTGCAAACCACAATAAATGAATAAATATAATTAAAATATAATTAAAAAAAAAGAAGCGACCAATCAGCATCTAGGATGGGTACAATCACATAATACCACATAACACATTAATAATGATAGCAAAATCAATATAATATACGGTTTGTCAAACAAGCTTCATTTAGAGATACGAAAAAAAGTTTTCTTACTTGTAAGGAGTCCCACAGGACCAGCAGGTGTTCTTTTTCAACATAGTTGGCTGAAGACTCAGCCATGTGATCCAGAGCTTCTTTTATTGAATCCCAAGGTAAATCAACGTCCTGAACGGCTGCTGGGCCAAGTTTCTTCAACACCACTGGAAGAGCCTGATAACGACAGTCCTGTTAAACACCGACTCGCCAAATGTTCATTGTGTGATGTTTGGTTTTCTGCGATGTGATCTCACCTTAGTGGCACAGGAGTGGAACATGTTACAGACTCCTCGACACATCTCAAAGATCAGCTGACCTGCTCCTCTGGCCTTCTGAGGGTTCTCAGACAGGTTGGAGAACATAAGTGTGAAGAGAGCATCATAATCGGACACCTGTGGGACATGAGAGACGCGTTGGCTTTAGCAACGACAAAGATGACATGGTGAAAATAATCTCGGATGTTAAAGACTCACCTTTCTCATCAAAAAAGAGAAGCTCTCGGCAGCAAAGTTGCGGATGTGTTCCTTCTTGTGCGCCAAAAGTTTACTGTAAAGACTGGTTTAGAAAAGCAAAAGAGTGAGAAATTATACATTATAATTCTACAAATTATGAATGAGATGCGAACATACTTTTTATGAAAGCTTATTTCCATAATTTTGACTCTTTATCACAATTCTGACTTTTTTCTTGCAAACGTGAGGGAAAAAGTCCTACTTGTAAGATATGAACTCAGAATTGCGAGATATAAACTCAGAAATCTGATGAGTCCGAATTGTGAGATTTAAACTCACAAGTGCAAGAAAAATACAGATATCAAAAATACTTTAAAAAAATTTTTTTATTCTGTGGTGGAAACAATAAAAACAGAATTGTAAATTCTCAGTCAATTCTGAGAAAAAATGTCAATTGCAATATGTAAACTTCGAGTTCTGAGAAAAAAGTTAGACTTGTGAGATAAAACCTCAATTTTGAGAAGAAAATAAAGCCAAAATAGCAAGATGTAAACTCACAATTACGAGTTTATAATTTGCAACTGTGAAAAATAGATTTGCAATTCTGAGAATTGTGAGATATAACCTAGAAATTGTGAGATTAAAATGCCACAATTTTTCTATTTTTATTTCATGGCGGAAACAAGTTTCCATTTCCTTTTGAGTTTCAAAGATCTAACCGAACAGTTTTTAAACTAGAATATAATCTACTAGGGTTTATTTCTACTGAACTAATGATATCTGGCACTTCTCACCTGTATATCTTGTCAATATCCTTCACCATCATCCTCCACAGGTATTTGTACAGGTATGACAGACACGTGAAGGCCCATTCCAACACCTCAGTGTCTTGTGTTTCCAGTATAGACGTGACGATGATGAAGAAGTCGCAGAAGTGAGGGTAAAAGTCCATCTGGAGGTCGCGAGCAAGCTGAACTACAAGACTGAAAGTAATAGTCAGGTTAACATAATATCATCCGCCTGTTAATTAAAAGAAAAAAAAACAAACAGAGGAACTCACTCTAGAAGAGGTTGGTAAGCCATGCTGTTCTTCACTGACAGGTGGGTCTTCAGACTCTCCACAACAGCGTTTTGGTGAAACACCAGCATGTTGAAAGACTGACTCTTGCTTAACACCTCTTGAAAGATCTTCTCTGTAAGAACAGACGATTGGATTAATAATCTAAACCAAATCACTTTAATGTCACTACAACATATACAAGAGAGAAACCTGTTATTTTAGTAGCATTGGGATACTATTAAGAGTTTTTATTCATAATTAGAATGTTTTTAATATTTTCTATTTTTATTGTAGTAATTGTTTAGTAAATGTCTATATAGTTTTTAAAATCATTATTATTTCGGTTTTAGTTGTTTTTATGGAAGCCCGTTTCCACCACTGAATAAAAAATAAAAAATGGTAATTTTTCTCACAATTCTGACTTTTTTTTTTTCACAGAATTGCGAGTTATAAAGTCAGAATTGCGAGTTATATATATATATAAACTTTTTTTCTCGCAATTGCGAGTTTATATCTTGCACTTCTGACTTTATTTCTCGCAATTCTGACTTTATTTCTCGCAATTCTGACTTCATTTCTCGCAATTGCGAGTTTATTTCTTGCAATTCTGACTTATAAGCAATTGCGAGTTATAAAGTCAGAATTGCGTGATATAAACTCGCAATTGCGAGTTAAAGTTTTGAGGGGGGGAAAAGACTGATATGTTCTCAGAATTGCGAGTTTATATCTCACAATTCTGAGAAAAAAGTCAGAATTGCAAAACAAAAAGTCTTTTTATCTTTTTATCTCCCAGTTCTGACTTTATTTCTCAGAATTGCGACTTTATGTCTCGCAATTGTGAGTTTATATCACGCAATTCTGAGAAAAAAAGTCAGAATTGTGAGATAAAAAGTCGCAATTACCTAAATTTTTTTATTCAGTGGCGGAAACGAACTTCCATATATTTTAGTTCAACTAAATGAAAATTAGAAATGTTTCCAACTAACTGAAATAAAAAGTCTACTTTTTTTATATTTTATTTCCAGTAATGAATTTTTTTAGTTTTTGAATTTTTATAGTTGATTAATAACAACCCTGACAACATACAAGATGTACAGGTCATATTATATAATAAATCAACAGTATGTACAATTTCCTCATAATATACAGTGCATACTCCCACATTAAACGGTCACAGAACATGTTACTTACTGAAGTGATCTGTCAAATTCAGGTCTTTCCATTTTATTAGGGCTTCATAAAAATAGGTTTCTACCTCCTGAGAAAATAAGCAGCAGAATTTACCACATACACATGAGATACTATAACGTTGCTATTAAACAGTGATGTTGTCTGATATAAATAAGATTAGTACCTCTGTATAACTTCCAGTCCTGTCAATGCGATGAATGACATCAATGTTTACTTTTGCGAGCCTCTCAGAAAACGTCACAAACTGGAAAATAAAAGTAAAGTATTGATACATCAAAAGACATTAAAAATGTCTGGAAGCTTATTTGCATTAAACGACGGGCATATTCAACTTTATAAACTAAACATTTTAAAATTACAGATGTGTAATACGTAAAACGCATTTCGTTTCGCTATGTATATGAAATAAAATATCGTAATGTTTGTCAGATGCATGAGCAGCAGTTTCCAGCATGCGTTTCACCGTAAACTTACGCGGTACGTGTTTTCTGATTTATGAGATGGGGGCTTGGCTTTGAGCTTCATTTTGCTGTATTATCAGACCTCCAAATACAGAATGTATGGATACCCCGTGATTTAAAAGACAAAATACGTTATCAATGGCTGTGAAATTGTTAACACGCATGCCGTATCAGGAGGCCACCATCTTGAATGACGCATTATGGGTACAGTGGAGAGTTGTACTGTTTTTCAAAATAAAAGTCTCTTTTCTTTTTCGTCTATAGCAAGAGTTTTGAAATTATTCCATCGGATCTAGTTGTGTTGCACAATAATATAAAAATATAAATTAAATGATATATAAGATAAATAAAATGTACACAAGTTTCTGTTTATTTTTAATTAATGTGTTGTACAGATTTTTTTATTTTTTTTTTTGGTCGATGGTTAAAATGAGAAATATGAAAATATTATACATTATTAATGTGTTGTATAGATATATATTTATTTTTAGTCAATGGTTTGTTCATAGTACATGCTATTTCTTTAACATTTTCGAATTGCATTATTCATAGTCCCATTTAATTTTATGCTAAACATTATCTCCACATATCCCAATTGTTCTCTAGTACTAATAAAGTTGTATTGTATTAATTTAACCTATAAATAGACACACAAAGATTAGTAATATTGGGAGGTTAATAACATTAGGCTGCTTTTGTTATTAATAGGGAGTGAATTGTCTATTTGTATCTCACACACAAGAATAAACGCATTATCTGATAATTAGAGAAAAAAAACACTGCAGTCCAACTGCAGTAAGTAAGGAGGAATGAATGTGATAGGGGTGGGATGATGACAAGCATGCAGCTCCAGGAACAATCACAGTGAGTAACTTTGGCAGAGCCTCCCTCTGACTGAACAAACATCTCTTTCTGTCATGACACAATCTCTGACCTAACAATCTGCTTTCAATGAGTAAGTTCCTGATGGTCACCGATAATATTTTGCAAACAGAGCCACAAAGGTTTCCTCGTAAAATCGAGAGACCCTGTTAAAGAAGTTCAGACGTGCACCAAGATGTCAAGTGCGGCATCCTTCAGTGTGTGGGACTATGTGGTCTTCAGCTTAATGCTGGTGATCTCAGCAGGCATCGGGGTTTACTACGCCTTCGCTGGAAGAGGTCAGAGCAGCTCCGCAGACTTTCTGGTGGGTGGACGGAGTATGACAGCGGTGCCTGTGGCTCTGTCCCTGACAGCCAGCTTCATGTCAGCCATCACCGTTCTGGGGACTCCGGTGGAGGTGTATCAGTACGGAGCCAATTTCATCCTCATCTGCTTTTCTTATGTTCTGATGGTGGCTGTGAGCTCTGAGATTTTCCTGCCGATCTTCTACAGACTGGGAATAACCAGCACCTATGAGGTGAGATGAGAGCAAAAAATTCAATGTGGCATTAAAACATTTCATTGGTAATCTAAAATAGTGAGTTTATTGAGGAAGAACATATTAATGATGTTAAAACGTTTCCATAATGCATTGATTCTGCAACTTATGCAATGTAATCATTTTTTTCCCTTCGTTTGCAGTATCTGGAGATGCGTTACAATAAAGTACTTAGACTATTTGGGACAGTCCTGTTTATCATACAGACAGTGAGTGTTTTCTTGTTACTATCAGTCTTATTAAATCATACAGTAAATTCAATGTACTATTTTCCATCTCTTCTCAGGTCCTATACACAGGTCTGGTTATTTACGCCCCGGCTTTGGCTTTAAACCAAGGTAGGATTTTTTTTGCAGATGTTTCTATTTTGCTTCCTTCACTCTTAAAAATAAAGGTCTAAAAAATGAGAATTTTACAGCAATGCCATGAAGAATCATTTTTGTTTGCCCAAAGAGCCTTTCAGTGAACAGTTCTTAAAAGAACCATTTATTCTTAACATTTTAATAATCTAAAGAACGAATGGAAATGGAAAGGTTCCATGAATGGTAAAGTTCTTCATAAAGAAGAAATCTACTAGGTGTAAGTCAAATGGCTTTACTTGTGAAGTGTATGGTGTAACAAGTATGCTTGATAGTGCACAGTGCTGTCTGGTCAAGTGAACTTCTCTCCACTTCTCAGTCACAGGTATAGATCTCTGGGGTGCCGTCATTTCGACCGGAGTCGTCTGCACTCTCTACTGTACATTAGTAAGTTAGAAAGAGAGTAGTGTTATTTTAGTATCATTGAGATACTATTAATATGTTGAGTGAAAATATGCAAGATGTACAGAGCACAAAATAAATTCACAGTATGTACAATAACCTCATAATATATTGCATACATTGCCATTTCAAACGGTCACGGAATATGGTTAATTACTCAAGTGTCAAATTCAAGTCTCTCCATTTTATTAGGGCTCCATAAAAATAGGTTACTACCTAGTCCACTCGAAACTCAAGCAACAAATTGTACAGCACAATTGTTTTAATATTGCAAAATAATATTTTGATGTATAAAAGATTTAAGATTTGCCCCATGCTTATTGTTGACTGAACGTATAAAATCAAAAAAATAATCTATGCATATTTGCTTTATATTAAACGGGTTTCCCAAGTGAGGGTTCATGAGTTGATAAACTGGTAATTAATTATATTGAATGTAAAATTAAAATAAAAAAATGGGGCTGCACAATAATCCCTATATAGCTTAGTGCAATTATAAAATAAAGAGCTAAAATTTAATTAAATAACTTTATAGTATGTTGTGCTGCGTAATTTTTTTTATTTACTTATTATCAACTTATTTACTTATTATTTTATTATTATCAACATCAGAGAACTATGAGCATAAAAATGTGTTGTTAAATCATTTGAATATTAGCTTCAAATCTCAGGTGGTACTACAAATAAATATTTTAAGTCTAAGGGGTTCAGCTGACAAAAAAGTTTGAGAATCCGTGTTATATTAAAATTATACAGTAGCAACACTTTTTAGAATTGCCATTTTATGTTTATATAATGTATATTTATTCAAATGTGCATCACAAAGGATTGTCCCTTTACCCTGGCAGGGCGGTCTGAAGGCAGTGGTGTGGACGGATGTATTCCAGGTGGGCATCATGTTGGCTGGGCTCTTGGCTGTCATCGTCCAGTCGGTGCTGCTGCAGGGCGGGATCTCCACTATCATCAGTGACTCCACCCAGGGAGGCCGGCTCAACCTATGGGAGTGAGTTATCACATTACTGACAGGTACAAGAATGCATAATTTCAAGGAGAGTCTGGGCAAAAATGAAAATTGGGTCATCAAATACTCACACTCATGTCATTCCAAACCTGTATGACTTTTGTTCTTGTGCAGAACACAAAAGATAATGCATAGTTGATAACTGTACAGTTTCGGCTCCCATTGACTTCCATTTTATGGTCAAAATATATAATGGAAGTGAATGGGAACCAAAATTGTTTGGTTACCAACATTCTTCAAAATATCTTCCTTTGTGTTCAGCAGAGGAAAGAAACTCATTCAGGTTTGGAGCGACATGGGGGAGAGTAAATTAGGACAGAATTTTCATTTTTGCCTGGATTGTCCTTTCACCTCCTACATGACAATTAATGAAAATGTCAGAAAGTCAAAACAATCAACTCACAAAGCATTGCAATACGTCAGTTAAATTCTTACTTGAATTTGCTATATCACCACACGAAATCAATTAAACTATCAGAAATGTAATTATTAAAGATTAAACGGTTATATAATGCTTTAAAATAACAAATAAAGCACACACATAAGAGGACGGCTGCTTTTTTTCACAGTTGTCGCAGTAAACCTTCTCACTGTCCGCCAGATTTTGTAGCTGGAAAAAAGAGTTGATGCAGCTTTCCTGAAGAACACGAGGAGGAAGAATTATGTATGATTTGCTCAAGATCATATATATTACAATGTATATTACTGACGCACAATGACTAAAAATGAATGTTGATTCAAGAATGTTGGTAACCAAACAGTTGCTGGTAGCCATTGACTTCTATAGTATTTTTGTCCATACTTTGAAAGTCAATGCCAGCAATTGTTTGGTTTGCCACATTCTTCAAAATATCTTCTTTTGTGTTTAACAGAAGAACAAAACTCATTCAGGTTTGGAACAACTTGAGGGTGTGTAAATGATAACCGAATTTTCATTTTCAAGATATCATTGATGAATGTTTAATGTGCTTACCAAGGAGTTTTCCCTTTCACAGATTGCCAAAGGAAGGCTGAAAAGAGAGTTGGGCATTCGTTGGATGAATTTGCAATTTAAACACCCCACCTGGGTCTCCACCTTTATTTCATAGAGACTGCAGATTTCCTGAGCCTGATAGAGTAAAACAAAGAGTTTACCATACAGAATTGATCATTCTCATTAACACCGAGACATAACAGTACATACTTAAAATATGTGCATCGGTTTTTAATGAAAACCCACCAGAGCAGCATCAGGTATCTGCTTCTGACTGAGATTGAGGATGATGTGGAAAAGTTCATCTGCATCCTGCTGAGTGAACCCTACAGCACAATGACAGAATGACACAACTGAGCGACATTATTTCCATAAGTATACGATTTTGGGGTGATATGACACATACGTCGGATGGCTTGACGGTAGAGGCAGTTGAGGAAGTCTTTGTGTGGAGCATGATATGATTTGTCCCTCATGGCTTCCAGGGTATTCTTCAACTGCAGTGGGGCGTTACTCTGATCAATCCCATTTGATGGATGCCATCTTTAAAGGAATAGTTCATCCAAAAATTTGATTAATATTTACTCACCCTCAGGCCATCCAAGAGTTTGTTTCATCAGAACAGATTTGGAGAAATGTAGCATTCCATCACTTGCTCACCAGTGGATCCTCTGCAGTGAATGGGTGCCGTCAGAATGAGTGCTGATAAAAACATCACAATAATCCACACCACTCCAGTCCATCAATTAATGTCTTGTAAAACAAAATAAAAAAAATAGTGTGTTTGTAAGAAACAAATTTATCAGTATATTTTTTAACTTCAAACCACTGAATCTGGCTAAAACAGGAGTCCTCTATCCATAATATTGCTTTCTCCAGTGAAAAAAAGTCGTCTAGTTCAGGAGAGAAATATGCAAAAATCAAGGAAGAAAAACAGTACAAAACAGTTATTGTTGGACTTTGATGTGAGAGGACATCAGGGGATGGACTTTTTTACTGGAGGAAGTGTTTTTTATTGATTATAGAATTGTAATGCCTCAATGATTTGAGGATTTGTTTCTTACAAACATGCAGCTTTTCACTCGCAAGATGTTAACTGATGGACCGGAGTGGTGTGGATTACTGTGATGTTTTTATCAGCTGTTTGGACTCTCATTCTGACGGCACCCATTCACTGCACAGGATCCACTGGTGAGCAAGTGATGGAAGGTTACATTTGTCCAAATCTGTTCTGATGATGAAACAAACTCTACATCTTGGATGTCCAGAGAATGCGTACATTTTCAACAAATGAAACATGGCCAATTTGCAAAGAGTGTATCTTATTTAATAGATAATAGAGCTTTACTTGTTCAGTATGTCCAGTAGTTCAGTGGTGGCAGAAAAGGATTGAAGCAAAGCATTTACACAGCAGGACAGATTGTAGTTTAAAAGGCCTCTCACTTCTGAAACATCAGATCATATTTAAGATCATTATTAGTTCCAGCATTTCTGGATACACTTTTTAAAAAAATGGTTCAAAAGACTGAAATGACAGTAGTTGTAGCAGTATTTTTTTATTAAAATATGCACTATGATGTATGCAAGTGTCTGGTGACCTACCATAATCCAATGATACAGAGCGTTTGTATAGTGAATAATCCATTTTACTCCAATACTTCCCCATCCAGACATATACGACTGCAAACGCTTCTTGGTGTTGTATCTTTGGAAACCTGTTGTTTTGACACAATCGAAATTAAACTGCGCATTGGTTATAGAAAATCAAAGTAAGCTGACTAAATATTCACCCTCTTCAAGATACTTCAGCTCCCGTTTACTCGTAGCATAACAATCGGTTTCATACAGACATAAACAGAAACAGCTGATTTTACTTTCACTTTCAATTCATGCCTCAGTTTCTGTCACAGATGCGAAACTAACACCCGCTTCTGAATAAATGACTAGGTAATATTTTTAAGTTTTTATTAGTATCATTAACAAACATAATTTAATCACTTTTTTTTTTAATAAACAGAAATATCAGGAAACTCTAATAACACATTTTATATACGGACTGTTTATAATGTATTTAAACCAGTGTTATTTTACTATCATTAATATACTATTATGGGTTTTGTTAGAATTAGATTTGGAAAATCTAAAAAAAAAAATAGAAATTTAAAAATAAGATTTTAATTAAAAAAAAAATTTTTTTTTTTAAATATGTCTATATTTATTCATTTTAGTATTCACATTAAAAATGAGAAATAAAGCTGAAATAAAGTTTTTTTTAACGGATTTAATATTAGTTAATAACCCTGGTATAAACCTCTGACCTTTTAGTCTGTATATTCTTAATAATTTAATAAAAGTGCATTTGAAAAGTACATATTAATAAAACTTAGTACAAGTCTTAACCATGACCATTCAATGTGAAGTACAATAAACAGTTGTTAATATAAGTTACATACTGTGTCTGCAGCACAAGCCCAGATCCACATGAACTCATACATTCAAAAACATATTTACACATTTTATTATATAATAAAATTACATTTGATCTGCATGAAATATTTCTCTCCAGGATACCATCCATTTTAAATAGGTTATCAGTAGTTTGATATAATTCAATGATTTATTTATCTATAATGTAAGTAAGTGCACCAATAAGTGATGCTCATGGCAAACACAGGATGTATTAAGTATTATAAATTTGGGATGGCAACATTGTTTCACAGTTTGTTCCAGGATAACACCATTAAAACTCTAACTCCGGGTGTTGGCTCTGTAATAAGGTCCAAACATGGTGTTCCACGTCTGCTGAAGGAGTCCATGCAGGCGGAGCAGCCACGGGAAAGCTGAGGGCAGAGCTGAGAGCGGAGAAATAGTCAGTCAATCATTCTCAAAGTAATTATTTAGGATGCACTGCATAAAAATGGCCAGCGGAGCTCTTACCCGGGTCAATACGGACAAGAAGATACAGCAATATTAAAGCCAGAAAAACTTTGCGCACAGAGATGGATCTGATTCTCACACTGGCTACTGAGAGACCTCGGCATAACAACCTCATTATGGAAGTCAGCCGCCGAGTCAGTTTATCTGTCAATCACAAAAACACATCACTGCATCCACCATCTATTCTACAATAAAATGACTTCCTCATCAATGATATAGCTTGAATCAAATTACATTGCAATTTTTTACTTAAAGCACATTATTAAAAGAAAGTCACCTTGTTTTGAAGCATTAGTTGTTGGCGCCACAGCTACAGATTCAGGATTTGTAGTGGACGATGTTGCATTTTTCTCATTCTGAATGTCTACCAAACTCCGAGCGGCTTGTCTCTGTTCTTCAGTGAATGCCACCCGACACACATCAGTCTCCAGCATCTCCAGAGCTTCAGCCGTGAGACCCATCGGCACCAGAATGTGGAGGAGATACAGCTCTGCCACAGTGCTCATGTTACCAGAGCATTGCAGCCAATCACAGACTGCCTCCATCACAGCACTTTCATCACCACCACTTTCACAGAGCAGAATGCTGTGAAACAGTTTATATAGCATTAGGAGCGAGGTAGCGGTACTTCACCCACATTCAAAGGCTATTTAATGTAATTTGTGAGATTAAAGCAGATTCTTCTTACCACATTTGGATAATCTTGAAAGGAATTTTCTCTGTTTCTCCATACTGCTGCAAAACCCATGACAGAACTCCAGGCCACTGATTGAGCTCAGCCATTGCCTGAATCCCCACTATAGTCAAAGCTGCTTTCAGTTCAGCATACTTGAAGCTGTAAGGAAAGATTTAGCACGAGATTGGAGATAACTGTAAATACATAACTTATAATTTCATTATGAGATATTTTACATAAACTCACCAGCTGTCCTCCTGCTCTGCAAAAGAGCCTAAACTCTCAAGTCCTTTCTCGCACATATCCAGCGCAGCTTGAAAGTCTTTCTTTACCATTAAATATTCAACGGCAGCGTCCACCGGAGCTGTTAACGGACACGCGGATGGGCTGCTGAGCCAAACCGAGCCCGAACCACGACCGCCCGCCAAAGACACGGATGAACTGCTCCTCATAACGGACTGCTATTGAGCTTTCAGTGCATTACAGCCGCCACGACATTCTAATTTATTGAGATGCACCTGTATGTGAATATATATAATATACATAGAATATATATTCTGTAAAAAATATGGGAATTAAGTAGAGACCAAAATATTTTAAATCAAAATTCTTGTATTTCTAAGTTCATATTTTAACTGATATCTTATATGTGTTTTATATTTTCCATATTTGATTAATTTTAGACTTTCTCAAAATACTATAAAATATAAAAATATTTAACTTTTCTTGCAGACAAACGTACACAAACCTCCTTTTGGTTAAAAACAAATTTATTAAATAAAATCTTGTGAATAAAGGCATATTCAACAGATGTGTGTATTTTACATTTAAGTACATAATTTATTGATGTCCTACAGAATGCAAAGGTGATTCCATTAAGTAAGGCTGGGGACATCAAAATGACATCTTTAATTCCTCTCTCCTGAAGTGTTCATATATTAAATTTTCTCGGTTGTAAGTGATCACAATTTCCCAAATCTTATCAAATCCGTATTGAACAGAAAAGGCTACAAAACTAATCAAATTATTGCTGTATCTGTTAATTTATGGTTTAAGTCCAATCACTGGCAACTCCAGCATCTGCTGGAAGAAGCTGACCTCTGTCAATCAACAATTTCATCAGTCCTTTCCTCCGTCTCCATGTTACCCTCAGTCCATAGTCTTTCTCAGGTGTGTCCTTCACCGGGACATTTGTGTTCTCAGTGCGCAGAGGAGTTTTTGCTTGGTTTGGAGGGAAGAGGAGATGTTGAAGATTGGATGGAGACGTGCTGGAACAATGTGGCATTTCTGGCGTCTCAACATTTGGGGGTTCGGGAACTAATAAGCTTGTGTTCGGTGTGTGAACAGAATCCTTAGGTGTTCTATTTCCATTTTTATGGAACTGAAGGTTCTTTGAAACTTCTGAACGCCTGGAGGTGGATATAACACGTGTAGCCATCCTCCTCTCCACCCCTTTTCGAGGAAAGCGAGTTCTTCTTGGAGTTTCTCGAAGCTGCTTGCTATGGCCGTCCGAAGAAACAAGCCTGTCATTCTTTGTCCGAGAACTACTAAAGTTTTCACGCTGGTGCTGCGAACCTGCTGTGGTTGCCTCAAAGGACAAGGGAATATATTTGCAGCCATTTGCTCCAAAATCCGGTGCCTTATCTGAGATTCTCGTAGGCATCTGGTTATTTCTCCTCCCTCGGCAACGTTGACTAACCGTTGTGTTTTCGAGCGAATTAAACTGCGGAGACACCTACAAACAGACAATATATCAGTTTATAAAATGTCTTCACACATAACATATAAGTAAGGATTGCAAAGCATGCACATACCCAAGAGGTACATGGTGCACCACTTTGCAGTTGTTTCTCTGATATAAATGACTTGGGATGAATGGCACTCTGTAGTTGTGGTCCATACTCATGCTTTGGTCCATTAATGGGCGCCCCCACGAACAACAGCTGAGACTTGTGCGGGTTCAGCAGCCTCTTCTTATGTGAATTGCGGGGCATTAGAAGGCATGATATGCTGCAAGGAAGGAAAACAAGATGCCATGAGGCAGAGAAGTACTACTACTACTACTGATCTGTCAGTGGCACGCAGGAATAAACGTTTAATTCTCTAAGACAGATACTGACTACTAACACATTTATAAGTCCCAAAACACGTAATACTCATGCAAAACGTCTTATCTAATCTCATTGACATGTTATCATGTTTTATGCAATGTCCCTTAGTAACAGATGCTAGCAGTACTATGGAGAAAGTTCGCACGTGGATAATACACATGGCATGCAGTGAAACCCTTAGCTGATACTCACGCATCGCTTTGTATTTCTTCTCAATCGCATTGTATTTTTTGTAAAATGTAAATTCGACAAAGACACTGATAAACCGTCTGACTGAGGTTCATCCTCGGTTCACACACTCCAGTTCCTCCCAGAGAAACACAAACTGATTAGTTAGCCTAACAGTCGATTATCACAAGAGGCGGGGCTTGGTGGCCCGGACGTTGTTTTGATTGGTCAGGTAGGATGGCTCCAAATACTAATTATTCTTTTTAATTATTCATCGCATGTTTAAAGTTTCAATATTATTATTTTTCATCAGTGTTCCTATTCAGGTGTAAAATTGAAAACAGACCGCTGCTGAAGCAGCACATAAACAGTGTTACATTTCTAAAACGCACCAGTCACACTCGTATGTAAATGACTGAGACAGAATATTCATATTTTATATTAGAATAATTTCTGTTGAAGAAATGTAGAAGGTTTCCGCTTTTCAGAATGCAGAATTTGTATTTCGGAGCCGCCCCCTAAAGGAACCTTTACACAGTCTTACTGTACCATAGAGAACTGCAACACTGTCCGCGCGATGGCTCCGCCCAGAGGCTCTGGCTCCGCCCATGTGTATCCTCCATTGGGCTAGACGCGATCACGTGACAGCGCTGTCCCGCTCTGCGCCAAAATTCAAAATCTCACCAAATGTGCACAAGAGTCCCGGGACCCGAGTTTTTCCTTTACCCCCATCAGAATACATTTGATCACTCAGCACTGCCAGATTAACTCCAATAAACCACCGTCTGCACGGCTGCCATGAGATGAAGGTTTGATCCGCTTCGTATTATTTTGATGTGTGTTTTATTTTGAATGAATTTAGTAAGTTGGGTAACGCTAGACGAGTCACTAGGCCGCATGTCAGATAATAAAGGAAGATCGTTTATACTTTAATAATTTAGTGCTTTAATTAGATTCGCCTAAACATTAAGACGACAACAAGCTCTAATGTGTTTTAAAACGACGGTCAGCGCGATGAGAGATCATTGTAATAAAATAAAATCACTTTATTTATTTTTTTTCTACACAAATATTTTACAAACCTGCATTGCATCAAGTCTTTTGTTTATGAAAAATATGAATGATCTGTCAAACAATAAAAACAACAATAATAACAAGAAGTACGCCAGATTGAAAGTAATCTTTTTCTAACGGTATTATATTCTAGAACTAACATCGTCATTCAAGAGACGTTAGACAAAAAAGTCGTTTATCAACAGACCTTCTTATCGGTACATTTGGCCAAGATCTTCTAATATATATATATGATATTTTTTGAATGTGTATTTTATATGCACACATTTATTTTGACACATATCAGCTTTTGATTCAAGATTGTATGTTGTTTTATTGTTTGTATGAATCCTCATTTGCGCAGCTGTTGAGAAGCGCCCCGTTTCTAGTAGCTGAATAATTCCCATTTGTGCTGTATTTATGAAGGAAAACTTTGAAGTTAGTTGTAAACATGACATATTATGTGCTTTATGTGTTGTAGACAGTCCTCAGGCAGGCCTTTTTGCTTTGAGCAAACGATGAGAGAGAGCCCGAGGAGACCCATCATCCTGAAGAGGAGGAAGCTGCCGTTTCAGAAGAGTGAATCTGATGCAGGGGGCGATGAGGCAGATGGGCCGCTCCGCAAGACCACCCTGACCCCGTCCACCGCCCGCTGCTTCCCTGATGGCATCCGGATGATGGACCACCCCACCATACCGGACACTCAGGTGGTGGTGATCCCGAAAGCAGCCGATCTGCAGAGCGTCATCAGCGCCCTGACGGCCAAAGGGAAGGAGTGCGGCCCTCAGGGCCGAAACAAGTTCATCCTGCTCAGTGGCAGCACCAGTTTGGAGGAGGAAAAAGCCCTCGGGTGTTTATCTACAAAACCTAGGGATGAACTTGAGAAAGGTGAGGGACGTGGCTTAAAAGCGTGTGGATGTTCTGAAAAATTAGTTTTCTGAAATGTTCTTTGTTATGATATCAGTGAAAAAGGAGACGGAGTGCTTCCCGCTTGATGACAGTCTGACAAACATCCAGTGGCTGGGAAAAATGAGCTCTGATGGGCTTGGATCAGAGTCAAACCAAAAATGCACCAAGGAGGACAATCCAAGTGACTGTCATCAGGTACACAACATTAAAGGCACCCTTAAAGTCAAAGTCATATGATGCTATTTTAAAGATCATTATTTTGTGTATTTGATGTAACAGAATATGTTGACATGCTTTAATGTTCAAAAAACACATTATTTTTCGAATACTGTACATTATTGTAGGTCCTCTATGCCCCGCCTCTCTCAAACGCTTTGTTTTCTACAAAGTCCCTCCTTCCGACAAGCGCAGTCTGCTCTGATTGGCCAGCTGACCCAGTGCATTGTGATTGGCCGAACACTGCAAGCACGCGTCGGAAATGTAACGCCCCTTAGCATAATCGCGAGCTTCAGCTTTCAAAGTAAATATCAAGACAGTTAATAATGTTGTTAGTTTTACCATCAGTTCAAGCCCGAGAGGGCAACAGAGTCGCGTGACAGACACAGTGATGATGCAGTACACAAGCCGCGGTTAAAACAGCTGACGTGCTATGATTTCTGACAGGCAGTTCACTCTCCTGTGATGTGACCCTGTTCCCCTCACACACACACACACACACACACGACGCGTTACTCTGCGCTGCGCAAAACTCCGCATTTGAACAGCCATTAGCAAATACTTAAACTAGTAACAAAACATACGTACAGTCGCTGATTCAGAAGCGCCAGATTGTCATAGCAAAGTCGGAATTGACCTTTTTTTAAAAAAAATTAGAAATAGCCTTTGTGCACAGCCAGCTTTTTACTCTTGTAGGTTCAAAAAACTGTCGTCCATAAAATGCGTTGCACAAATTCGAATATCTGGGTTGTGCTGTTCTGTTGTAAATAAATCTTAACCAATGATTCCTAATTGCGTCTACTTCCCGGAGGGCCAAATAAAGCGCTTTCGCTTAGAAACACAGCGTCTCCCTGACATGCTGCATCAACATGACTGCTGTTCCTGAAACCACGCCTTATTTCTTTGCGTGCACATTTGGGCGGCATTATGCTAATATTTCCACATAGTGACATAGATATGTGGGGGCGTGTTAGAACAAGCCGTTTTAGGTAGGTGTGGCTGACTTAACTTTTATAAAGAATATCTCTTTGGATTTGAGACTTTCGTCTTTGCAACTTTACAGATCTTCTTTATGCACCAAGAGCTTGTAACACTTCAAAGAGAAAGGAAAACTTGAAATCGCATCATATGACCCCTTTAAAGCGTGTCTTTATTTCTAATTTATATTTTAGTTGTAACTTTTTTTTTTTTGCTTTGGAATGGTCAAAACAATATACGCAAAATTGATTGAAAATCATTAAAAAAAATTCAAATATTTAAATTTTGGTTAAAGGTTTTTTAATTGAATACATTTTAATGCAATATAATGCAACATTTACTTTTGGCCCATGGCCCTCTATCCAGTTTGATTTTTGGTCTTTTGTATTAAAATATTTGAGCATTCTGTTATAGATCTTTTTGTGAATAATACATTTGTGCATGTTTCAAAAAATGTTTTGTAATAAGTTAACACTTTACAATAAGGCTCATTAGTTAACTACTTTAGTTAACATGAAATAAGAATGATCAACACTTCTACAGCTATTTTTTTTAACTTATTGTTAATTTCAACATCTACTAATGCATTATTAAAATCTAAAGTTGTGCTTGTTAACATTAGTTAATGCACTGTGAATTAACATGAACTAAAAATGAACGACTGTATTTTCATTAACTAACATTAACAAAGATGAATAAATGTATTGCTCATTGTTTCTTCATGTTAGTTAATACATGAACTAATTGAACCTTATTGTAAAGTGTCACCTGTAATATTTAATCAAAATTTAAGGGGGTCTGAATACTTTCCGTACCCACTGTAACTGGATCTTCTGGTGGAAACGACAGACTGGTGGTGTATACAAGACTTCTCATCATTTAGTCCGCTTAAATTCCTTATTTTTGAGTGTCACACCTACATATCAACAACTGATGAATAGAGCCGAGTCTCTGCCCTACATTCTTTTTACGCTAGGATTTATGCCGCAATACGGAAGAAAATATTTGTCACTGTGTCCGTTTAATTGCAGCTTTACAAATTGGTTGATTAAAACATCCTTTTTTGTATGTTTCTTCTATGTTTTGCTTTTTGAAATTTAATTCTTTAAAATTGTTTGTTTGTTTCCTTTTAAGCAGTCCAAAGCTCCAGAAAAGGAGAAGGACCCTCTGTCTGAGAGACCACCATATTCCTACATGGCTATGATCCAGTTTGCTATCAACAGCAAGAAGAACCGACACATGACCCTGAAAGAAATTTACAATTGGATCGAAGACCACTTTCCGTTCTTCAGAAATGTTGCCAAACCCGGATGGAAGGTACAGTAGTGTATAAAGCCCGTATAGTTTCAATTTACCTCTCTTGTAAGATTTCTGAGTGTGATTTGTTTTATTTTTATTTGTTAGAATTCCATACGTCATAACCTCTCACTGCATGACATGTTCGTCCGGGAGACGTCTCCCGATGGCAAGATCTCCTATTGGACGATTCGACCGGAAGCAAACCGCTGTCTCACTTTGGACCAGGTCTACAAGGTGTGTATACCTCATTTTAGTCTTAATACAGATCACACACTCGCTTCATTATGTGGTAGTCACTTACTGTGCTACTGTGTTCATTTTATGCTTCAAATGTGGTCATCTCTCATTTCCTGGCTCATCCCACAGCCTTTGGTTGACCCAGTGACCCCCACTTGCCCTCAGATCACACAAGTTGGTTTCAATCAAGTAAGACCCCTTTTCCTACTAATTCATCCTCTCATGGCAGATCAACAGGACCAGCCTCTCTACTTCTCCAGGAATCAGTTACTTTATTTCAGGGACAGTCAGACAGATGGAAGCACGTTCAGCTCGAGATCAACGCTTGTTTTGTTCTTTTAATCATCTAAGAGTCATCGAAAAGGCAGACAGTATTGAGACTGCAGTTATTTTGAATGTCACATTTTGTGTAAAAGTAAAGAAAGTCTCTTTTTTTTTTTCTCTCTCTCCGTAGCAACAGAAGAGAGGTCCTCCGGAGCTGAAGAAAGCCATACCCGCCACAGGTGAGTGTTGGGCTGGATGAGAGGCATGAATGAGTGCATGATGAGTTTGTTTCCTGACAGTCGTTTGTCTTTGCTCGCTCTCAGAGAGGAAGATGAAGCCGCTTCTGCCTCGGACTGACTCATACCTGATTCCCATCCAGCTTCCTCTGGGTCAGTCACTCTTCCTGCCCTCCTCCAGTCCCGCGACTCTCGCCACTCCTCCACACGCTCAGAGCTCTTCCACTCCCAGCTCCAGCAGTGCGAGCAAGCGGGTCCGGATTGCCCCTAAGGTAAAACCTACCCGTTTATATGAGTGAATCTCACAAAAAGTGGTCCAGGTCATATTTCATTAAAAGAAAAAGAAAAGTTATATTATAGAAAAATTAAACCTAATTTTTTTCTCTGTGGTGATTCTCATTACTGTAATATATATATGTTTTTATGGCATAATTTCAAATGCAGTACAGCACACAACCATTACGTGTAACTATTTTGCTATGGAAGAGATATTTACTTATAATTTTTTAATTATTAATTTGCGGAATGACATGATGGTGAGTAAATTAGGATTGATTTTTGGGTGAACTATCAACAGCATGACTTCCCAGGGCATATGTAGTCTTGTCTTTCATTTGAATATGAACTAGATGAAAATATAAGTGATGCTTGCACTGCGAGAATGTCACTATGTGGTTGCTAGGGTAGTTAGGGGCAATAGTAATAGCAGCAAGCACCACTAAAATGTAACTGATGCCCTTTGACACTCAGGCCTGTTAGTTGGCATGAATTCAGCTGGTGTTTGGTGAAGTTCCATTAGTAGGTCTGAACTTCCTGCTGAGCCACTTCCAGGAATATCTGCAGATGTAGGCTTAAATAATCTGCACAAGAAGAAGTAGAGGTCAATCATTGGATCTTTCTACAATCTTAAAGGAAAAGTTGACCGGAAAAATTTATATTTGCTGAAAACTTACCCTCAGGCCATCCAACATGTAGATGAGTTTGTTTCTTCATCAGAACAGATTTGGAGAAATGTAGCATCACATCACTTGCTCACCAATGGATCCTCTGCAGTGAATGGGTGCCGTCAGAATGAGAGTCCAAACATCTTATAAAAACATCACAATAATCCACAAGTAATCCACACCACTCCAGTCCATCAATTAACGTCTTGTGAAGTGAAAAGCTGCATGTTTGTAAGAAATAAATCAAGACTGTTTAAAGTGAAACTGTCCAGTCACTTCTGGACAAAATACTAGTCCATCGTCCAAAATAACTCCTCCTCCTGTGAAAAGGTGAAAAAACTGTTGTCCTCTCACATCAACATATTTGTTTTTGACTGTTTTTGCTTATAAACGGTGCTTGGTCTGTGCATATTTTTCTCCTGATTCTGACGAGATGACTTTTTCACTGGAGTAAGTAATATTATGGATAGATGACTCATACTTAGCGAGAAGACAGTTTGAAGTTAAAAGGCCCTGTTGTGTGGATTACTTGTGGATTATTGTGATGTTTTTATCAGCTGTTTGGACTCCCATTCTGACGGCACCCATTCACTGCAGAGCATCCATTGGTGAGCAAGAGATGTAATGCCACATTTCTCCAAATCTGTTCAGATGAGGAAACAAACTCTACATCTTGGATGACCTGAGTGCGAGTAAATTTTTAGCAAATGTTCATTTTTGGTTGAACGTCTCTTAACTTTTAACCAGTCAAAGTCAAAGACTACCACAAAGATAAAACATTAATTTAGATACAAAACTTCTTTTGCCTCTACGTTTATGATATCCTTACCTGGGTGAACCAAAAAATCCTCCATTAAGAGCTCCAAGACAAGAAAGAGCAACTAATACTGGTATTGCTGGAGCTACACCCTGCAGAGCCCGACTTGCAAATGTCTGCAATGCATTAAGTACAATACAGTCATGACCTTTACTCTCCAAACTAAAGCCTGTAATAGCATCTCCAAAGTCCAGCACTACTAACCACTGCCACGGCATCTGACATCAGTAACTCATTTGCGGTCATCATGGTGTAGTAAGCCACATTGACCAGCACGTAACACACGGTAACAGTCACCATGGAGAAAATGACAGCCAATGGGATGGTTCTAACAAGAATATATGAGAAATTAATCTAAGTGCCTTTATATCACTTTTAAAACGATTAAAACATACGGTCGAGCTAACAATTTGGCAAAGCAGGAAGTTCAAAATACCTGTTTGGGTTAATTACCTCTTCCGTTATGAAATTCAAATAAAACCTGTAAGCAAAAACAAACACTTTTACATTGTTTTTGAAATCCCTTACTTTGGATTTCAATATATTTGATACTGCTAATACCCACCAGCCGCCATATGCGTAAAGACCTGAATAAAAGGCCAAAGGAAGTTTGGTCAGAGAAAAAGAATCTGAGTCAAAGGCATTCTGGAAATTTTCGGTTTTCCCTGAAATAGAAAAAAATTGTTTGTGTGAATGACACTGTGCACCTTCTATATATGTTATTATTTAAAAGCTGCTTGTGATGGGCTTTGGTTCATCATGTGACTTTCTCATCACCACCTGCATTTGGGGTTATCAGTGTATTACAAAGGTACAAAACAGATGTCAGTACTTCAATAGGTTGGTATATTAACATTATATCAGTTAATGAAATTACGGTATTTAACTGTAATTTAAGTTAAAACCGTAAAACCTAAAATGTTGCTACCGTATTTTTTACGGTAAAATTCCGGCAACCACAGCTGCCGTTTTTTTACCGTAAATGTTACGGATTTTTTTTTACAGTGTATAATGTGAAAAAATAAAGGTCCTGAAGGAGGCTTTTTGTGGCAATGCCATAGAAGAACCATTTTTGGTTCCACAAAGAACCTTTCAGTGAACAGTTCTTAAAAGAACCACTTTTTTGTTAGCATAAATAAAAAATTTAAAATCTAAAGAACACTTTCCAGCTATAAAGAACCTTTTAACAGCTAACAGGGAACATTCTCAGAACGTTTTAACAAATGATCTTCCAGTTACATCAATAAAACATCCATTCAGATTTCACTCTTAATAATAAAGTTTCCAAAAGTGGGTTTTTGCAGTGTTGCCGTAGTAGAAAAAACATTTTGGGATCCACAAAGAACCTTTCAGTAAACAGTTCTTAAATGAATCATATTTTTCTTAGTGTGAAGGTCATTTAATTATCAAATGATCCCTTTTCACTAAAAATAACCTTTTGTCCAATGAAAAGCTTCCATGGATGTTAAAGGTTCTTCATGGAGCCATTGATGCCAATAAAGAACCTTAATTTTTAAAGTGTGTTGTCTGGTATTTTTCTCAAAACATTAGTATAACAATTTATACATTGTTCATGGAACTTAATTTCTGAAAAGTTTTAGTCTGATGTTTGTCTAATGCTTTTTACATTTTACTACTGTTCAGAACATCCAAACGTAACATTATGTTTGCAAATGATGATGACGTTCACAAAACCAAAAAAAAAAACATTTTTAAAACATTTAAAATCTGGATGTTTCAAATATTCTGAAGTATTGTTTTCATAACTAATGGGAATGTTAGTAAAACGGTCTTATACTATATATATTCGTGCGAGCTTTGAAATGGAAAATTTTCATGAATGTTAAAGGTTGTTCATGGAACCGCAGATGCCAATAAAGAACCCTTTTTTTTTTACTCATAAAGACATTATTAAATCACCTTTGGTAAACATAGTAATTATTTCAAACACAAGTGCAAATCTTCATTTAAGAAAAATATAAGACCCATCAATCATTTTTTTCTACTCACCAGTCAGAAGTAGTAAGTAGTGAGACCAGTAAACTTTTCTCTTTATGCTGCTTGTTTTGCACCTCCTTTCATGCAGAGTAACCCTGGAAACTCACCATCCAGCTCAGAGCTCAGGCCAGAAACAAAGCCAGCAGTCTTCCACAGATTAATCAACACCAGTAATGAAAGCCTTTTAGACGGGGAAAGCCATGTGCCATTGTGCTGCGTGTGTGTGTGTAGGTACAGTGCGCACAGCGGGACACAGGAATCTACCATGAGGACCTCCTCTTCTTGTTGCAGCAGCTGCAAAGTTCACTTTTCTTCAACATGAACATAAAAACAAACAGAAAATGACTACAGAGAATGCATAAGAATCCAAGAGCATTTTTGTTAAGTCTACCACTCAGATTACTGAAAGCTCTCTCAGCACATGCTACAGAGTGTTAGTTTGTGTGTGTGAGGGGTCAGTCCTCACTGAGAGGGAGCTTAACAGTAAACTGTTATTGGCCAGGGGCCACCGACTTTCTCTCTCTTCTTGTTCTGTGTCTGGCTGTCTGCTTCATTTTGTCAGACATGTGTGTTAAAGTCTCTTTTGACTCATGAAGGGCCCCTATTGTGTTTTTCATGCACCATGAAAAGCATGAAGTTTGTTAACAATTGACACTGACAGGCATAAATAGTGCAGGGGCATTTGAGAAGCCATTCCTCAGTTGTCAAATGGAAAAAAAGTTACAACATCTGCAGCAACATGTTTCTGAACATGTTTACACAGCTGATAATGAAGCCAAACAAACCAAAAAAGAACATCTAGGGCTGAAAAAGTAGCCACGAGGAACTTGTTTCTGTAGGTCTATGTAAATGATATGAAGATAGTTTTACTCCAATGAAACTGTCAAATGCTCATGAAGTGACAAGTTATTTTAAGTTGTAATTATATTTCACAATATTACTGTTTTTACTGTATTTTTAATCAAATAAATGCAGCCTTGGTGAATATAAGAGACATTCATATTAAATATATTAAATATATATATATATATGCCCTTTGTGGAGCTTGACAGTTGTGGTAGTCTTCTACACTCATGTATAAGACTCATGTATAAGACTCATGTATAAGAAAGAGATGATTTCTCTTTTTGTGTTCCACATAAAAAATAAGTTAACATGTTTTTAGAACAACACGATGGTGAGTAAATAAATGTAAATACATTTTTTTGTGTGAACTATCCCTTTAATTGCACAGTACACCTGAGGAGGGCGGGGCTTACCTGTAGACAGGCCACGCCTATTCCCACAGCACCAATAATGAGCAAGTGATCTGCCAGAAACTGCTCCAGTTTAGTGATACAGCCACCCTGTAAGAGACCACAGCACTGTTAACTACTTCAGTTTAATGTATATATCATGTTCTTTTCTTTTCAGTGTCAGTGCCCATTTGTGAATGTCAATTGATTTATTTTGCAGACTGATGAAGAGTTACATCTATATGGGTGATTTTTTTATTGAGTGATTTACGTGACAGTATCGAGGATACTGCCTCAACATATCACGTATAGAATAAAATGAATGGCCCATGAGGCCAGTAAAACCAGTGTCAAATATGGACTAAATCCAACCCAACCTTGTCTGTTTTTAAATCCACTCTAAAGACCTATTTATTTTCGTTGGCGTTCGACATCCCATGACAAATTGTCTTTGACTTTGTTCTCAGGAATGCCACACATTTTACAGCTTGTGTATATTCTGTGTACACTCTAAAAAATGCTGGGTTAAATACAACCCAGTGCTGGGTAAAATAGGGACAAACCCAGCAATTGGGTTGTTTTGACCCAGCGGTTGGGTTAAATGTTTAACCCAACCTTCTGGGTAGTAACCCAACCTCTGGGTCAAAACAACCCAATTGCTGGGTTTGTCCCTATTTTACCCAGCACTGGGTTGTATTTAGCCCAGCATTTTTTAGAGTGTATATTTAATGTGTAATTTTGCAATTTGCCTATTGTTGGTATAGTGTTGTAAAGCACTTTGGTCAATTCCGGTTGTTTTTAAACTGTGCTATATAAATACAATTGTATTGTATTGTATCCACCTTTTTCTTCAATGCGGAAGTAAGCCTATGGGTGAGACTTCCGGTTCATTAGCCGCTATAGGGAAATAACGAGGAGAATAACAACGTGCAGTAAACGGTAAAACTGTTTGCACTACAAACCAGTGTGTTCATAATTATGATAATACATTGAAATAATATGGTAAGACACACCAACTTTCAATATCAAGCAGCAAAACGAACTGTTTTGCTCAGCTAAATATTGCTGGACGGAGTGGACGCAGATGAGACCGGAAGCCAGACCCATATAATTTACAAATGGCCGCGCCCATATGGGTTACATTTTTACATTACATTTTGAAACCAAAAGTTGGGTCAGTCCATATTTGACCCAAAGTTGGGTCGAAACAACCCAGCATTTTTTAGAGTGGTTTAGTCATCACTACAAGTTAGAGAAAATGTTCTTGACGTTAAAAACTTTTAATTAATTAGTTAATTAATTAAAATCTGATGTAAATGAGTTTGTTGAAATAAAGAGTCTTCAACTAAATTTATTAAAATTAATAAAGAGACTTTACAACGTTATGATTATTTTTCATGAAATATATATTAAGAAATAATATCCTTGCTAAATAATTGTATATATTTTTATATATTTAAAAATTATATTTAATATAATAATATATTTTTATAGATTTTATAGATGTTATATATAATATTTTAGGAATAGCAATGACAATTCTGAGTTGGCACACACTGCAAGACTCCGTGGGTCAAACGAAATATGAATGATTATTTTTATTATTATTTTTTTTTATTATGCGAAAATTATACAAAGATTTGTACAAACATATACAACTCGCAGCAAGTACAAAAACAAATAAACAATCATAATATGAAAATATGAATGATTAAAATATGCGTCAAGTTCACGCGTACGTCAGCAGAGAGGGCGTGGCGAGCTGCGTCACTGCAGCCACGTAATCAGGGAAGTAGGAAGTGCAGCTCACGCGCTTCAGTTGCAGAACGAGCAGAGTGAGTATAAACTTCATCAGCTGTCTTCATATTAAAATTACTTAATGGCAGATATATAATAAATAGTTTGCATATGTTCTGCTTTCGTTCGCAAGTCCGGATAATGTGTGCGGTTGTGCGATTAGCAGATTCATTCATTCAATTCAGATTGAATGAAGTTATTATTTTAAAAATATTTTCATTTTAGCAACTCTTTAAATGTTATGATTATATTTACATCTTTTAGTATATGTAGTTACTGTCTGTTAGTTTGCATGTTTTATTGTTCAGATGCTTAATTGTTTTCCAAATCAAGCTTGGATAAATGATTTGGGACAGGCAAATTATTCACTGCAGTTTATTTAGGAATTGATTGATTTATGAATTGAATGATCATTGCTTTGATTTTTCATCTGGTGTATATGTGCACCACAAACTGCTTTGGGTTTTTAACACTTATCATGTTTATAGTTCAGGTTCAGCAATGCTTATACATGAAACAATGCAGTGTTTTTATGGTAATCGTTGTGGGTGATCCTGTTATGAAAGTTGTAAAGAATATGATTTAATAAATGCACCGAGCTGGGTGATTGAAGTTGTTTTTGTGTTTGTT